CTTTTTGAGAGTGTATTTTTACACAAAGGCATACATGGAACATTAAGTTGTTCTTAACTTGCGTCTTGCTCTCTTTATCTGTTCCACGCGTAAGCATACGCAACCTCTGCATGTTATATGTGCAAGGCCTATGTTCACACACCCCATCTTGCGTATTCAAAGTACACTCTAAAAAAAGGGTGTATTGTTACATCCTTTGTCCCATATAATACACCCCAAAACTTCAGTTCGACGTACAGCACACTGATGTCGATCTTACGGTACTAACTTTCACGAGAGGCTTGATTGCCGTGCGGCTCAACTTATTAAAATAGGTAATTTAGGTGTTACTGACTACAAGAAAATATTCTCAGGTTTCGTGGCCCTACTTCAAAACCTCAGGGTTTTCTTTCTGTCGTTTTCGATAGGTACTTTAGCTGTCTGATAAGTTACATCGCACCGTTATCAAGCCCCTCGTAGAATTTGGGCCGTCTATTCGCTTACAGTGCGCTGTGCGTGGAACTGAAGTTTGGGGGTGCATTATATGGGACAAAAGGGTGTAAGGTGATACTTTTTTTAGAGTGTAGTTTCAATACAGCTAGTGCGGAGGTCGATATCATCACGAATGACAGACGAGGAGGTAGAAAAAACAGAATCACCTAAAGATTTCATAGCGGCGAACTTGTGCCAGAAAGAAAAAAAAAAGAACACACGACGAGAAAGCAGCAACGCGCGTCGATGGCTGCAGCAGCAAGCAACGGTGCGTCGGCGTAACAACTGGCTATCGCGAGAGAGAATCAGTGAATGTGTCAACAATACGGCGCTCTGCTTTCTAGATACTAATCTCGTCATCTTGCATATTCGATCTAGAACGTTCAGGGAAGAGCAAAGGGCAACACTGAGTAGGCAAGATCATTCTGGCCTTGTTATCACTCGGGGTAAGAGTAAGGACGTCTGCGAAAATCGCCAGGTGCGCGCTGCCATTTTTGTCTGCTGCACTGTGTAACGCCTTCTGAGCATGTGCTGTTGCTCTGCTGTGTGGTATATTAGACGCTGCGCATGCCTCCACAGCTCAGTGACTCAGCGTTTTTCGCCCAGGTGATAAGTGATGCAAAGCGATGCGAAGGTCTATAGCGAACCCTTTAGATGAACGGAGAAGCGCATCTTCTCGATCATGCACGCGACATTACTCCCCTCTTTAAAAGCGCATCGCCTCGATGCAACACAAAAGAAAAAAAAAATAATGGAAGGATAAAAATCCATCTGAAAAACGAAAATTCCCCAGTGCGACCGAGCGTAGAACGGCCTGAGTTGAACTACGTGAGCTACCTCGGGTCCTGGCTGGAAGCGAACGCCCCGGGCTGGAAGTGAACGTCCCGACGACGAAGGTTGTTCCGGCAAGCGTCGACACGTCGCTGGTTTTGAATCCGGAGTCGCGCGAGCTGGCGGATTTCTTCAACCCCTTGAGCAACCACAGGGGTGTCGTAGCTCCAATCGTCAGCTGGCTCGTGGGGCAGCATTGAGTCCATCATGGTGGTTACTTCCCAACCATGTACGAGCTGGAAAGGTTAACTCCAGCGATATCTTGAACTGCCATGTTGTAGGCAAATGTGACGTAGGGTAAAACTTCGTCCCACGTCTTGTGCTCCACGTCTACGTACGCAGGGGTTTCCCCAGGAACTGAAATTAGGGGGGGGGGGACGTTGTATAAATTTTTAGGGGTGGAGTTAAGGGGGGGGGGGCATTAAGAATAAAGGAGTCGTTGTGAATTAAGGGGCTGCCTTAAAAAACAAGGGATTTCCCTACACAATCATTGGACGTACATGGCGATCATGTCGGCGATGGTCTTGTTTAGCCGTTCCGTCAGCCTTGTTTAGCCGTTCCGTCGTCGTTCGACGATCGCTGTTGTGGCTGAACCGGAGGATGTTTTGAGTTAGTTGTGCCAAAAACAACGACCCGGTGGGCGCCGTGCCTGAGGGCGATGAATTGCACAAAGAACTCGGCGACTTCCACTGCATTTCGCAATGGAAGGGCTTTGTACTTGGCATACCTTGTGAGGTAATTAGTGCCGACTATGATCCACCGGTTTTCCTGCGTCGATGGTAAGAACGGTCCAAGCAAGTCCACTCCGATTTGCTGGAACGGCGTAGTCGAGGGACTGATCGTCTGCAGAGTCCTGCGGCTTCGTCGGTGGTTCCTTGCGTCGTTGGAGTTCAAAATACGATCGGACGTAGAAGTGAAAAAACTTCGGGAGCTTGGGCCAGCAGTACTTTTCCCGAATCCTTGCAAGTGTTCTGCTGTTGCCCAGGTGACCCGCCGTCGAATCATCATGGCACGTTTCGAAGACTTGTAGAGATAACCAGAAGCCACGTCGAGTTAGTGCCGCCGAAGTTTTCTTTTTGTTATACACATCTTCGAACAGCGAAGCTTGTCAAGGCTCGTGCGAATACCGTCCGTCGGTACCATTTCCCCTATCGAGGTAGAAATAAGACAATGGTCAGAAAAAAAAAATATCTTGCTTGACTCGGTATCTTCTTAACACTGTTGCCAGGGAGGCTGACACATATATTTTGTCTATGCGAGCGTGCGATGATGTTTGGAAGTGTGTGAAACGGATCTCGCTTGTTTCGTTTTTCACAGTTCCAGCGTCGATCAAATCAAAGTCTTTGAAAAGCTCATTCAGAACGCTGACGCTTCTTTCGTTATTTTGCCTAGGGGGTATTATATCTGCTGCTTGAAGGACGCATATAAAATCTCCACGCAAAACGACCGCTCTGTCACAATCTACAAAGCGGCGTGATCCGTTAAAACAGGGAACACGCTCTCTAACCGTACTAGGCGCTAACAACGAAAATGAAGCGGCACTTAATAAGCGAAAGCACGAAATCACACATTATGAAGCGCCCTTTCGTGTCTGTGGTAACGTTTAGCTCCGACAGGGGCAGGGACTTCTTAATAAAAAGGAAACAGCTGACAGAAAAACCAGCGGCGTGGGTGACATATACTTCATACGACGGCGAAACTGGCTAAGTGCAGTAGCGACTTACTCGTCCTCCGCCATTTTGGTCTCTTGCATCGCCGGGAAATCGGCTGCTTCCTTCAGCAGCAATCGCTGAAATTGATATTGCTCCTTACGAGCGTTTAAACCGCGAACACCTAAAGATGCGATTTCAATGCTTAGGACAAGCGGACAAATCATGTTCTGTGTTGCCTTCAGCCTTTCGCACTTGCCTTGAAAGTCTGGGTAGCGCCTTATTTGCTGTCTCGCCGTTCCCGGCCGTCTGGAGGGGTGAAAGGTAAGATCTTGTAGCGCCTTTTCTTGTTCTCTGTCCAAAGGGTTGGGAGCGGGCGTCATGCCCTTTACCGGTGAAGGGTCCTCGTCATCGAGGTTCTCTTCGAGGCCACGCTTTACGGACTCTGTGGACTCGTTCATGCTCTCGAGGGGTCCGGGGGGCGTCTTCTTGGCCACCGGACGGGAGGCGTCACGTGGTGCTCCAGGGCGCTCGACCTGCGTCGCCACCAGAGGGGTCGCCACGCCGCTGACCTCGCAGGAGGCGCCAGTCATCTCCTCCTCTCCCTTTGCGATCGAAACCTCAGCGGGACTGTTGGATTCCGCAGGGTGGCATTTTGGTTCACCTGTGAGAGGAGGCTTGGCAGGCGGGCTCTGAGGGGCGTTCTCGGCTCCCTCGACGTTCATGATGTGCAGGGACAGCTCCTCCACCAAAACTCTGGCATGTCACGCCTGTGATAGGCTTTGACGCACCGCTCCTTCTCGTGGCCAAAGCGAGAGCACAACGAGCACTTCGGCAGATAACAGTCGCACATAATGTGCCCTATGCGCTTGCATCGAAGGCAGACCGGTGCTCGCCCCGGAATAACGATCAAGACGTTCAACCCCTGTAGTCTCTGCTGGTGCGGGACGTCGTCTAGCGTGAGGCCCAGTCTTGAGCGTCACGCGGGCGACGCGGGTGGTCGACTCCACGCCCTCGAACACGCAAATTTTCTCGTCCTACGTCACCGACCTTGCCATAAGGCTCGAGCAGTTTGCGCACGGCGTCGTCTGGTAAGGGAATCGAGTGCAGGCGGACGCGTACCTTGGTGCAGCAGGGGTCGATGACGACGCACCGCAGTTTCTTCACCTCTAGTTCCTTTGCATCGAGAAGACGTTGCTTGGCTTCAGGTGTCCTCAGCGTCACCATCCCCAGGTGTGTTGTAAATCATCTTGATATGCTATCTCCCGCCGCCTGAGCCAGGCGTGTGACGTATCAACAACAGCAGCGTTATGTCTTTCCTCGCCCTTTCTCCCTTCCCAACTCCCTCTCTCTTGCTTGCGTTAAATACTCTGTTCACGGACGAATAAACGTTCTTTTCCAGTCCCCCAGCGCTGGTCTCGTCAGTCGTCCACGCACCGTATGTGCGCTTGCTACGTAGCAGTGGCGACGAGCAAGACAGGAACTCATGCACTAAAAGAAGATCACGGCGAGCAAAGCCACGGTACGGCCTTTCAAGAACCTGCAGCAATGACAACGCCAGCCTTGGCTCACCACCATCTTCCCGAGTATGACGGCGAAAGGGACAACTGGAGAGCGTACGTCATCAAGGCAGAAGCTTATTTCGAGGCAACGGGAGTTACCGACACAGCGAGAAAAAGGGCGTTGCTCGTAGCAGCGTTAAACACAAAGACTGTGCAGATCCTAGCGGGACGAGTCGCTCCGAAGAAACCCAACAGTCTGACCTACGAAGAAGTAGTTGCAACACTGAATGAATATTTCGACCCAAAGCGCCACGAGATCACCGAAAGCTTCCGGTTCTTCAATCGATGTCAGCACGAAGGTGAGCCTTTACAACATTTCCTTGTCGACATCCGACGCATTGCAGACAACTGCAATTTCGGCAGCATGCTGGAACGAATGCTCCGCGACCGTATAGTCTGTGGTCGTCAGATCAAAGGCCTTGCAAAAACAGCTTTTGGCAAAAGCAAACTTGACTTTGGAAGAGGCCGAAGCGATAGCATTATCAGCCGAAACGGCAGATGACGACGCAAATAAGATATCGGGCGATACAACCACCGTACTGAAGGTTGACGCGCAGCGCGTGTTGACGAACGAGCCGACTCTAAAATGCGGGCGTTGCGGAAGTAAGAAGCACAACAGCCACGCATGCCGCTGGGCCAAGAGCAGGTGCTATCACTGTGGTAGGCCGGGTCATCTTGCGAAAATATGCTCGAGCGACGCTCCGAGGAAACGCGAAACGGCGTCGACACAAGGCATGCGGGGACGAGCACTGGCGATGGCGGAAGACTGTGCGGAGGGGAACGTAGACGAAGCGATGCACCTCTGGACTTTGACTTCTTCTCGAAAGTGGCAATTAGAGCCCCCAATTCACAGGACATTCACGTGGTGCGGTGTCGACATGCCAATGCTGATAGACACGGGGTCGCCCGTCTGTGTTGTGCCCCGCGAAATTTATGAAAAGAACTGGGAGAGATGGCCGCCATTGCAACCTTCAGGTGTCAAGCTGTCCTGTTATCTTGGCAAGCTCCCCGTCCTAGGACAATTGGACATGAAGGTAGCCTACAAGGGTGCCGTAGTAGAGTGCCCCCTAATTGTATTGAATTGCCCCGGTCCTAGTCTATGCGGGCGGGATCTACTGTTTCAGCTGAGCAACGCAGGGTCACCTATTCTTCACATGACTGCGGAAGCCGGATCGCCAACGAGTCTCCCGGCCGCGGACGACATCGCCAACGAGTTTCAAGACGTCTTCAGTGCGGAACTCGGCTGCATCAGCGGTCCCCCTGTACACCTTCAACTCAAGGAGGGAGCTACACCAAAGTTCTGTAAGGCACGATCCATCCCTTTTGCTCTCCGTGATAAGGTTTCTCAAGAACTAGACAGACTGGTAGCAATTGGCGTGTTATCACCGGTTGCGCATGCGGAATGGGCTACGCCCATTGTGCCTGTCTTAAAGAAAGATGGAACAGTTCGGATTTGCGTCGATTTCAAGATAACGTTAAATCCTGTATGCGAACTGGAGCAGTACCCATTGCCGGTGATTGACGACATGTTTGCGTGCCTAAACGGGGGAGAGTACTTCAGTACTCTCGATCTTCGTGACGCGTATAACCAAGTACCGCTTGACGAAGAATCACAGAAGCTATGCGTAATCAACACGCATCGAGGGCTATTTTGCTTCAAGAGGCTGCCTTTTGGCATAGCGTCTGCCCCAGCCATCTTTCAACGTAAAATCGAAACAGTCCTGCAGGGATTACCAGGCGTGCAAGCTTACCTCGATGATGTGCTGGTTGCGGAGCGACAAGGAAGTAACGATACTCTGCGAGCGGTACTGCAGCGTTTCCGCGAGCACGGTGTAAAACTCCGGCGAGACAAATGCAAATTTAGTCAGCCTTCAGTCACGTATTTAGGGCACCAAATCGACAAAGACGGCCTACATCCCACTGAGAAACATGTGGAAGCAATCGCCCAGGCTCCTAACCCGACAAATGTGCAGGAACTTCGCTCGTTTTTGGGCATGCTGTCGTATTACTCCAAGTTCCTGCCGAATATGTCATCCGTGCTTGCACCCTTGTACCAGTTGCTGGGGAAAAATGCGCGTTGGGCCTGGAGAGAAGCTCAGCAGGCCGCCTTTGCCAACGCAAAGCAGTGCTTACTTGCGGCAGGGGTACTCGTTCACTACGACCCCGCGAAACCATTGAAACTGGAGTGTGATGCTTCTCCGCATGGCATCGGTGCTGTGCTGTTTCATACGGTCGGAAAAGTAAACCGGCCCATTGGCTTCCGGTCGCGAACGCTGACCAGTGCCGAGCGGAATTACTCTCAGCTAGAACGTGAGGCCTTGGCTCTGGTTTTTGGGGTGTCGAAATTTCGCGACAATCTCTTAAACAGAGATTTCACCTTGGTCACAGATCATCAGCCGCTCCTGGGCCTGCTGAAAGCGGACAAGCCTACGCCGGCGTTGGCCGCAGCCCGAATACAGCGCTGGGCTCTCTACCTCGGTGGATTTCGCTACAAACTTCAGTATTCGCCCGGTAAGCTGCTACTAAACGCCGACCCACTCAGCCGGCTACCGCTGCACACTCCAGAACCACCAGCAAGGAGCGAACCCCCCGAGTATGTTCACGCGCTGGCAAGTTTCGATGATGGCACTGTGTCTGTCGAGGAACTCAAACAGCTAACTGCGCAGGACGTGTTACTAACGAAGGTTGTGGAGTATACGAAGCACGGTTGGCCTACACATGTAAAGGACGCGGGATTGGCGCCATTCTCGGAACGCCGGTTGGAACTATCTGTGGCTCACGGGTTGGTATACTGGGGTCATCGAGTTGTTGTTCCCACACAAGCACGAGAACGGGTACTACACATATTGCATGAAACGCATCAAGGGTCCTCGGCCATGAAGGCGGTTGCCAGATCGGCATTCTGGTGGCCGGGACTAGACCGAGAGATAGAACACCTCTCAGCGTTGTGCCACAATTGCGTTCAAAACCTGCCTATGCCGGCCTCTGCTCAACCCATCAGTTGGCCAGCCGTTAAGGAAAAATGGTCGAGGCTCCACGCCGATTTCGCCGGGCCGGTCGCAGGCAGCATGATACTGGTAGTCGTGGATGCTGCCACTAAGTGGATTGAAGCCGTGCCCATGAGGCAGGCAAGCACGTCATCTACGATTGCCAGCTTGCGCAGCATTTTTGCCAGATTCGGTGTTCCACGCACAATAGTTACGGACAACGGCACGCAGTTCACTAGCGAAGAATTCGCCATCTTTGCTAAGAACAATAACATCGCACACCTACGTACGGCCGTGTATCACCCACAGTCTAACGGACTTGCTGAACGAGCTGTTCGTACGATTAAGGAAGCGCTAAAGAAGATGAGCGAAGGCACACTTGAAGAGAAGCTAGTCAAAGTTCTTTTCAACTACAGGAGAACGCCGTGCCACGAGGGAAAATCCCCTTCCGAACTTCTATTCGGCTACTTGATCCGCTCGCGCTTGGACTCGTGTTTCCCGCCTTTCCCAGGGTCAACCCAGGAGACGGAAGAGTGGACACTGCCGCCCGACACAGCCGTGTACGCCCGTAACTACGGCCAGGGGGAGAAATGGACACCAGGGAAAGTGCAGTCCACTACATTGTCACGCATGGTCACCATACAAACGCCTACTGGGGTGGTTCGACGTCACATAGACCAAGTGCGTTCCAGGCCGAGCCCGGCATCCGCTCGGAGCGGCGTTCGAGACCAAGACGAGGGGAGCCCTTCGGCTGCAGCTGCGCCCGCACCGACCGACAACGAAGGCGATTTGAACGAGCAGCCTACAGACCAGGTGGCGCCGGCACAAGCGTCACCGCCTATCCAGAAGGCGCAGAAACCCCCTCAAGCTTTGCGACGATCTACTCGGGAAAGGAAGCCTGTACAGCGTCTTCAATACTAAGGGAGGAGAAATGTTGTAAATCATCTTGATATGCTATCTCCCGCCGCCTGAGCCAGGCGTGTCACGTATCAACAACAGCAGCGTTATGTCTTTCCTCGCCCTTTCTCCCTTCCCAACTCCCTCTCTCTTGCTTGCGTTAAATACTCTGTTCACGGACGAATAAACGTTCTTTTCCAGTCCCCCAGCGCTGGTCTCGTCAGTCGTCCACGCACCGTATGTGCGCTTGCTACGTAGCAAGGTGGTTCATTTGAAACGCGCCACAACGCGGCGCAGAGCTTCAGGTCGTGGCGTAAATCTTCAATCCGATAAGGACGCCCCTTCAAATCGCAGTGCAATAAAACTGAGTTTGAAACTGTTACCCCCGTTGGAACTGGCGGCAACACTACTTTGTAGTCCTCGGTAGGCGATGACGGTTCAGTGAACAAAGGTCTGCGGCCACCAAGGGCCGTCGTCGCAGCTCCGTTGGAGCCAGCCATCCTGCGACCATTCTCGCAGGATGGAAGCAGAATACCTGAGCTAACCAGTAGAGCAACCGGGCTTTATGGACGCCCACCATTCTAACACTAATAAGGGTGAACAGCCTGCAATTTATGGTTATTATGATAATACTATTATTCCAAAGGTGCAAGCGAGCTGGAAAACAATGATGACGTTAATAATCCCTGGAGAAAAGGAACAAGGGGAACAAAGAACAAACACAAATCTCCAAATACAGCTAGGTGTCTGGTGCGCGACCGAGAAAAATCCACCTAGTTTTGGTATCAAACTGGGACCTCTTTATTTCGAATGGAGCGCTTTACCAAGTGAGCTAACCAGGGGTTACCTGGTTAGCTCAGTTGATAGAGCGCTCCACTGGAAATAGAGAGGTCACTGTTTCGATATCAGGACCAGGCGGATTTTTTAGGTCGCGTACCAGTCACCAAGCTGTATTTGGAGATTTGTGTTTGTCCTTCGTCCCCCTTGTTCCCCTTCTCCAGGAATTACTCTTGTAATCATTGTTGTCCAGCTCGCTTTCACCTTTACAATAATTGGATTATCATAACTCCATAACTCATTTTAACAACAGCCCGGTCTGTTCTTGCGATTTTTTTTCGTTCAATTTACGTTTTATACGACTCCGTGTTTACATGTTACGTACAACAGCAAACCTGCATTGTAAACATTACGTAAGGAAACCTGTTTTGAACGAGAACTGCTGTGTGCACATCATACAACATGGTATCAGGTGTCTTTGACAAACGCGTGCCCTTTCCCGGCACCGTCCTCCTGGACACTGTACTTGTGCGCATAAAGTCCTAGGGCCATCTTAAAAGAGAACGTGGCAAATTTTAATCGGACCTGCAGTAAAAAGCAAGAAACAAGCTCACCCGAACCCGAACTTTTTCTTTATCATGGAGCAGAAAAAAATACTCACTCTTCTCAACTACCTTGCCTGTTAAGGGCTGCTCACACATGCCACGCAGAGCTGACGTTACGAAATGTCAGGGCTGCATCAGCATTATTCTAAGCTCCGACCCAGCGCTGAGTTGGCCCTGCATTATGTGTGTATGCAGGAGCAGGCGGAATCATATGCCCCCACCAGGGGTGGGCACTGAGCGTGCGAAGTAACTAAATTCGGGAGGAGTGAAGCGTTTGCGCAGCGCCACCACCGCAGTGGCGTGACGTCAGTGAGCTGGGTTTGTATATAGACCGTATGTGTATGCATGTATGTATTTTGTGGCGCATTCTCTTTGAAGCGATAGTCTACAATAGACACGCGTTTAGGTGAAACGGCGCCATCTGACGTACGAAAAGTCAACTACCGGCCGACGTCATCTTGTATGACACCGCGATGCTCATGCCAGCCTGCACACATTTTAATGTTGTAATGCTGATCACCATACGTTCTAGTTTTGTCGTGTAAATTCATAGGAAGAGTGGATTGTTGCCCGATTTAGCGAAGACACTCTGTCTTGTTCTGCGGTGATGCCTAGACTAGAAGTCAGTAACGGTCGCTACCCGCTCGCCGTGGCGAGGCCCGTTTGGCGCGGAGATTTGCTAGTGAGCCAGAAACACTACAGATAGAGTAACTATTGTTATTCAATAAAAGTGTGCGGCTATTGGCTTTGAATACGGCTTTATTCATATGGAAATTTGCGTTCACAGACATGGAAGAGAGATAAAGCTACGGCTTTGCGTGCTTGTCTTGGCAAGTTTAAACAGCTGAATAATTACAGCGTTCAAACAGCTAAGTGCAATTCAAAGCAACGTTATTACAATATATTTGTAGATAATACGTGTACCAATCGTTTTTCAAGGTTCGATCGTTTAAGCAACTGCGTTTGACAAGTCGCGGAAAATTATTCGGCCGGGTAGACGACTTTATGAACAATAAATGAAAATTAATTTCGTCCAACAAAATTTAAAGAAGGTACTGCATTTGTGTCTGTGCAGACGTTAGAATCTGTGGCAAAGCATAACAACTGCCCACTAAGAATCGGAATATAATCAAATTTGACTTCTACATAACCAATCTGCACAGATGATGTAAAAGAACCATCCGAGCAAACGGAAAGGGGTACAGCTTTCGTAAACCTGCTTCTAGACATGAAGCCCACTGTCTTTGCGTATTGTCTGGAGCCTGCTAGCGAGTTTGGCAGTCAGAGGACTTGCTAGAGCGTCGTCTATGCGGAGCACAAGTTCGTCTGCTAGTGGTGGGGAAACACAAATGATATCTAATCATTCGCGTCTCCCCACCCCTTACTTGGCCACTGCTGCACGAGTGGTTACTTTGGTGCACCCCCCCCCCGCCCCCCCCCCCCCCCACTTCCCACGTGCTTCTAGTCGTTCTAAAATTCACAAATATAGTGGTTTTTGATGATCCTCAAAAATTTTCTAATCGAACTATTTTCTTTCACTAATTAAAAGGATAATCAACAAATTTTAGTTAATTATCCAACAGACTGTGGCGGTTGTTCGCTTTTATATTGTCCGCCGAATTCTTCGAACTCTCCGTGAAGACGGCATTCTGCTAACAGTTTGCAATTTCTTTTCTTTTTTTTTTTTAAATTCTGCTTTGACTAAAAAGTATCACCCGTTTTATTACCTTAGCATATTTTCAGGCTAAATGAAACCATTAGTCCCTGATTACTAGTATAATTCAATTAACACTTTTTCACTCCTTGTAGCGGTAATTATCAAATTACATTTTAAAAAAAAACCTGCAGAGGGGACAAAATTTTGTGACGCTACATGTTTACATGAGATTTATACTACTACACCGTTAAAAACCAAGCTGTTCCCTGAGCTGAACAAGAGAGGTACGCTTAGCCCATATCTCCCAGGACTGTTGATGACGACACGTCAGACTTAGATACATGCCTTTGTCTTGTGCTCGAGCAGTACAACTTAGAGGTCAAGGTCTGCGCATGACGTCTTCGTTAGTAGGCACAAGACCCGCCCCACGCGGAAAGGACGGTGAATTCCGTCGAGACTCCGCCGCAAAGCGGCAGACGCGGGCCTCTGGTGTCGCCGCATCTGCCGCTTCGCGGCGCTAGCGTTGTTAGAGGCTCCAAGACGCGCTGGCGGCGACGCTAAATGCTCTTCTTGAAAGCTCTGTTATACTCCGACTCTTGAGCGCAGCGAACGCAGCGTAGCGCAGGATGCGCGCGTTTTATTGGCCAGCGAGCAGGAACTCGATATCTGAGATCAATCAGCATCTGTGTACACTGTGCCACGCCACGTCTGCTACGTGTGACGTTTGCGGGGGTGGCGGGAGGGGAGGAAAGAAAAGGTCGTCTAGGTGGTATCTGGTATTGGCTGGACGATCTACTTTGTACTAGCGCATCGGTGGTACGATAAGGGAGATCAGAAAGGCTCAACCTTTCGCGATACGGAGTGGCGTGTGCTGTTTGGATGCCAAATGATTCTTATCTATAAAAGAATGTTTGATCTACCAAGGACTATAATATCTCATTAAACAATTTCTCAATAAAGGCCGATCTATGCTTATCTCTCAATGCCACAACACATCTGGTGTCCGTCGTTTGGAATCACAATGACTGCGATCACTTTCCAGCCGCACGCACCAAACATTTTATAAATTCCGAAGGTTCTATCATCTTACGATAATTTTACTCTAGATCTCCCGCTTCTATTCTCAGACTGCGAACCATCGTAGGTCGTTAGAAAGGTATTCCCGTGCGGAAACATTAATCGCTCTCGGCGGAATCATAACGAGCAGAAGGCCCGGCGTATATAAACGGGCCCCCCGTGCCCAGATCATCGCCAATTTTCTTGAGCTCTCGGAGACGCGGCTCTCCCCAACTTGCGCGCTTCGCCGAGACTAATCGGCCTGCACGCCGAGAACGTCCCTCTGCCGATATATTGGATCTTGCCATCGCTCTAGGCCACTTAACGCACGCGCGCGGCTGCTCCCGCGGTCCGTGACGCAAGCCCTAATCGTCTCTGGGATCATTTGTGGCCAGGCGTACCGCCGCTCCCCCACTGATGCGGCGAGAGCGGGAGCGCCAGATTTCGCATGGGCTTTTTGTCAACGACCTCCTAACACCACGATTGGATCATTGGGTGAGCGAGCGGAGGCGATGATCGTGGTCTGCTGTGCTTCAGCTCTTCCCATTTCTGCCTGATGGTCTTGGAAGAAAGCGCGATAAGATTTAAGTATTTTCGTTGGAAAAAAAAAAATTGTGTACGGGAATTTGTTGAGCCAAGGTGGCCGCGGGTACACAAATCGGATTTAGATATTAAAACGAGGATAAACAGGAAAGGTGTCGTAATTGTCGACGGGGACACATTTTGTCAGAACCCTTCATTCTAAGGGCGCTACGCTAGAGCAGCCTCAAGAGGCAATTCCGGAAATATATGGCGCCCCCACCGTCTGCTTGACACATTATAATAATCCGGTGTATGATAGGCGAAAGATATTATCCAAGAATAAAAGATGACGGTACAATTTTGGGATTTCTGCATGCAAATAAGGCAGAAGGAAAGAAAAACAAAGTGCCGGATCATCTTTTTTTTTTTATTCTTTGGGTGCTCTGAACTCCCACTAATATCA